GCCGGTGCACGGCACTGTCGTGAGGGTAGGATTCCCTTTTCATTTGAACCTACTCAGTCATGGAAGGAATTGCAATCGGGATTAATTTGTCTGGTAATATGATAAGTGACGTTAAGCATAATAGAAATATAATCGTGTTGCTGGAGTCGTGTGAAAGTTTAACCTCGGACCATGTGGACCGGGCATGGTACACAATATGTAGGAAGCTTTCAAGGAAACACGCCACAGCCAGCTTCGGGATGAAATGATGACTACATTATTGTCACTGATAATAGCAAACTGCAAAACCCTGCTCGCCAAGGAGTACCCAGGTCCTGCACCCACCGAGTGTGAAAATAACCTCCTCATCCGTCAAAAGCCCAAAAGTATCAGGGCGCAGGGGACACCACAAAAATATACGGCCGAACCTTAAACGAGAAGTGCAAACAAAGCCACTGTGTTCACCATCATGGCGTATGTGATCGAAAGGACTTCCAATATTTGTAAAAGCTTCCAGGTTTTGTTTTTTTCTAATTCGTTGGGGTTTTTTTTTCCCCTCTCGGTTCGTCACGATTAAATTTCGGAGGGACGCAGCCCACCTCGTGCTCGGCTGCGAGCAGAGGCACATAAAGGAAGGCATTCCAAATATTTCACATGAATGCACTTTACGCAAGGTGGGTGGGAAAAAGCGCATGGCTCCGCGTTTAAAGTATGTCCTTTCTGCACTGTAATAATCAATGAGGAGCTCTCACAGCCTGCACCGCTAACATTTGCACAGAGGATGGGTAAATACCTGGCGTTAGAGGGAAGGCGGGAAGAGGTTAAAAATAAGGTCTCTTAGAAAACGATGCGGGCCCAGTAACCACATACGGTCGACATACAGCGGTGCATATGCACAGACACACGCACGCATATAATCTAATTACAGTTGCACGTAAGGAAACAATTTGACCTTCAGCATCCAAGTTGAGACAACAAATCAAGGATATTAGTGTAGTACAAGCAAGCAGTAAGTTAGGAGACCCCAGGGAAAGCCATCCTCATAAGCACTCTGCTTGTGCAAAGCATTCAGGTGAAAGCGGGCTGCGGCGCATTCCGCTTCCCCGAGAGTTGAAAAATGTTCAACTTCGCTTAACCCCCTGAAAGAGCCACCGAAAAGTCCCTCCGTACAGTCAGGTTTCAAGTGGGAAGAGGGCAGCATTTTCTCAGCTGCCCGGCTTGCATTCTCTGAACGCCTCAATAAAGGGGAGCCGTCCCGGCCATTTGCAAGTATTCCTTTCGCGAAAGCAGGTTTTCTTACGTGGAAATCCCTACCCGGCAGGGAGAGGACATTTTACAGGTCCCGGCTGCCGCAGCCCGGGCACGGAGGTGCAGCCACGCAGAAAGTTCCCCGGGCGATGGAGAAGCGCAGGATCTCAACCGCCATTTTACCCCCACACTTGTAGCTGGGCAAAAGTGTTCAGTGAAATTCAGCTTGGAAATTGTGGCATAATCCCCCATCTCCGGGAGTGGAT